CTACTTTGTTGACTCTCCTTCCTGGCCTCCTGCATGAATAGGCCTTTTTTCCCTTCACAGGTGTCTGTACAAACAAGGGTGTTCCCAGGCCCCATCCTAAGCCTGCATATACCTCACAGTTTCACCTGTCACCTGTCAGTGGGGCAGATTGGTTCTCAGGCCTCTCCCCAGCTTCAGGCCTGTGCCTCCAACAGCTTCCTGAATGACCCAGACTTGGCTCACCTTCTGTCCCCCATCGGCCTGTTCTCAGACCCCACTCTGTCTGTGTGGCGGCCCCACCTCCACCCAGTCCCCTGGTTCAGACCCTCAGGAGTCCAATCTTATCTAGGACCCAGTTTCCTTTGTTTCTTCTGAGACATCCCATCAGCTCCCAGGATTGTCTTAACTACCCACTCGCTCCCTGTCTCTGAAACCTGTCTCCTGAGCTCCTGGGGTCCCAGTCCCTTTTGCTTCCAAAAAGCCTGACCTGGGTCTCCTGCCTCTTCAACCCTCCCACAGCCTGTCTGCTTCTCTCACCTTATCGTTGAACTTGTTAGAATCAAAGGTTGGCTTCAAAGCCATTGTCCCCTGTGATATAATTTATAATAAGAAATCTATGTTTGGCCCTGGCCGGTGTGGCTCAGTTGGCTGGAGTATCGTTCCATACACCAAAAGGTGGCAGGTTTGATTCTCGGTCAGGACACATGGCCAAGTTCAGGTTCAGGTTCAGTCCCAGGCAAGAGGTTGATTGATGTTTCTCTCTCTCTCTCTCAAAAAAAAAAAAAAAAAAAAATTGAAAAATACCATTAAAAAAAAAGACTTTCTAAAGAAAAAAAGAAATTTGTTAGGTTTTCATCCCAGTTCTGGCACAGAACCCCTAAAACCCTTGGAATTTCCTAAGTGAAGAGAGCATAAAGGTATCTCTTGTTAGGTTAATGAGGTGACTTTTGGAAAACACCTAAGGATGGGGGCTGGTTTCCTGGGGGAACCGACCATGTGATTAGAGGGTTGGAACGTTCAGTCCCACCCCACCTCCCCCTCTGGGGAGGCGATAGGAGCTGGAGGTTGAATCAGTCACCAATGGCCAAGGGCTTAATCAATGAAGCCTATGTAATGAAGCCTCCATAAAAACCCAAGAGGACAGGTTCAGAGAGCTTCTGGGCTGGTGGACACGTGGAGATTTGGTGAGAGTGGTGCCCCTGGAGAGAGCATGGAAGCTACGCACACCCTCCCACAGGCCCTGCCCTCCGCATCTCTCTCATCTGGCTGTTCCCGAGTTATATCCTTGTATAATAAACCTGTGATCTAGTAAGTAACATGTTTCTCTGAGTTCTGTGAGCTGCTCTAACAAATTAATTGAACCCAAGAGGGGTGGGGGGTCAGACTTACAGCTGGCCGTCAGAATCAAGGTGACAACCTGGACTTTGATTGGCATCTGACACCGGGTGGGATGGGGTGGGGGGCGGTCTTGTCGGACTGAGCCCTCAGCCTGTGGGATCTGACTCTCTCCTGGTAGACTGCGTCTGACTTGAGTTTCAACTGTAGGACGCCCAGCTGGTGTGCGAGAATTGCTGGGTAAAGTAGGGGAACCCCACCCCACACATTGGAATTGGGTGAGGAACTCAAATCCTCCCATTAGCCCTGAAAAGTCCAGCCTAGTTCCTTATACAAGGCCCACTGTTGAGGCAGTGACTGGGCTTGGCCTGGACCCTCCAGATTGAAGGGAGACCATGGGGGGAGTACGGGAATGTGTCCCCATCAGCCCAGATGGGTTCAACTCACTGGTGAATTGTCCTTAGTCTAGGCGGGCACTTCTGTGAACCGGGGAGCTGACATTTCCCCAACCGGGGCCTTGAGAGCATGAAAAGGGCTTCACATGCTGGACTAGTGTCTGGAAGTGCTGTAATCCTTTGACACCCCTCCCTCCTGGCTTTTCTGTCTCTTTGGGTCTCCGCCACTAGCTTCGCACATTTCCCACTGCCCAGGTCCCCATTGTTATTAAGATTTCCCCGGGCAGGTCGCCACGGGAAAAGGTCGGCACGTTTCGCCTCCCGGGAGAGGGAGGGAGGAAGAAAGGCTGAGCCGCCCAGAGCTGGCCACCTGGCTGCCTTCCTGGTTTAAGGTGTGGGTGGTCACAGTCTCCAGCTCAGGTATGTCTTTAATTTTCTGTTCCACAGGAAGGATCTGGGCGGCCACCTCTCACTCTCTCTCTCAGATCCCAGCTGTCACCCCAGGCGGCTGGCTCGGGACTGGCAGCCTTGGAGACGGGGCATCACAACAATTATATCAATGGGAGCAGCCGTGCTAATGGCACCTGACACAATAACCCTCACTCGGTACCCGGTGTTCTCTCGGGAGCTGGCCACACACCAACACTATTCACCTTCCCAAGAACACCCCGGAGCACGTGCCATTAAAAAGAAAAAAAGTTTATTCATATATTGAGCTGGTTCGTAATCGTTCAGCAGAGAGAGTTGAGCTGGTGATGGGTGCGAGAGACTCCTTGTTTGTCTCCATTCCCTTCCGTTGTCTTTAAAAACTGATTTAGAGAGAAAGGGGAAGGGAGAGAGATAGACAGAGAGAGAAAGAAAAACACCCGTTTGTTGTTCCACTTGTTAATGCGTTCACTGGCTGACTGTTTTTTTTAATTACATTTTTTTAATGTTGACGTTATTGCAGGCTTTCCCATGGCGCTCCTCCCTCTGCCCCCCACCCCGCCTCCCCCGCTTTGGCCTTCACCACGCTGCAGTCCCTGTCGCATATGTTCTGGAGCGAATCCCTCCAACTGCTCTATCGCTGGTTTACTCTTCTGTGTGCCCTGACCCTGGTTCAAAGCGGGAACCTTGGTGCATGGAGACAACACTCCCACCCACTGTGCCGCCTGGCCCGGGCGGCCATTCTCTCTCATTGTGTATATTCATTGTCCCTCCTTTGCTATCTTTACTATTGTGTATCTTTGCCACTGTTTTTATTATTGCGTATCCTTTGCTCTTATCTTTGCTATTCTATGTCCTTGTTATCGTCTCTATTACTGGGTATCTTTTGTTATTGTATTTATTTTTGTGTAAATTAAGATAAGGCCTTACACTGAGGTTGAGGAAAGGAAAGTAACCTCTATGTTTTCTGCTAAAAAAACAACAAATAAACAAACAAAAAACCCTGGTAGTTTAGTTGGTTAGTGTCCTCCTGATACTCCAAGGTTGTGGGTTGGATCCCTGGTCAGGGCACATACAAGAATCAACCAGTGAACGCATAAATACACGGAACAACAATCGATGTTTCTCTCTCTCTAAAATCAATAAAAAGGAAACACTTCGGAATGAAAAAAGAAAAACACACCAAACCCTCCATTAAAAAAAATTAAGCCCTGCCGGGCGTGGCTCAGCGTTCGAGCATCGACCTAGGATCCCGAGATCGCAGGAGGCAGTCGATCAGTGGCTCTCTCATCATTGATGTTTCTCTCTCTCTCTCCCTCTCGCTTCCTCTCTCTGAAGTCAATAGATATATTTATATATAAAAAAATTAAGATGAAATGCACATATAAAAGTAACTATTCCAGGTGCACAGTTCAGTGGCATTTACTACATTCGCAATGTAATTTTATTAGTATATGTTATAACAAATTGTGTATTGTTTTGTGTGCAATGTCTTCTTCCCAGAATATCCTATTTAAAATAGCAACTCCACCCACTCTCCTAACACAACTTCCTTTTTTCCTCTCATTTATTTTATTTTTTCCAACACAACTTTCTATCCCTTCAACTCCGCCTTTTTGCTGCCTGACAATGTATTTCTTTACTCACCTTCTTTATAATGTGTCTCCCTACAAAAAAAAAGTAAGCTCTGCAAGAGCAAAAGGTTCTATTTAATTAACCTCTGTCCACGATAGTGCCTGGCTTATGATAGGTACCAACATTTAAATAAACAAAAGTATATTTACCCACACTCAGTGTCAGCACTGAATATGTTTGCTGAGAAAAATAAATAAATACAACACCCTTGGACACTCAGCAAAGGGGTTATTATTGACATCCAAATGTAGTATTTTATAGGGAACCTTGCAAATAATAGCGGTAAGCCCTCAACATTTATCCTCACAGCAGTGCCCTGAGGGAAAATGAGAAGCCCTGTTTTACAAATGAGAAAAGAGGCGGTGAGTTTTATGACTTGTTCAAAGTAGGCACTCCGGTGGCTTGAGCATCTGACCATTGTGTTCTGGGGTCACGGGCAAAGGTGTAACCATAGTAGGGGGCATTGAACAGGGTGTCCTTGGAGGAGACAGATGGACAGGATATCTGGTGGACAGCGGGGTCCAGGCATGGGGCCCCCCTTGGGATACTGAAGCCCATCGCTCTAGATCCTAGAATGGGCATGGGGATTTGGAGACGGGGAATATTGCCAGAGGCAAGATGTTGACAGAATGTGGGATGTGTGTTGGGGTGGGACATTTGGGAGGTCCAGAACTATGTGAGAATGAACTGTTATGAGGGTCAAGGTTAGCTGTGATGCCATTCAGAAAGGCATAGCATAGAGGATTGTGGGCACAAGAGAATGTTTTCAGAATGAAATGTCATGGGAGTCTAGAACCTTCTTGAGTACCAAACGTAGAAGGATCTAGAATGTTGGCAGTGAACAAGTATCTGAAGGGGTATAGGATGTTCTCAGGAATGGGCATTCACAGGACATGAATATCATTGGGATGGGATGGAGGCATCAAAGCATTCACAGATAAAACATTTGGATGGTGAGCTGAGTTTATGCTGAAACAATTGGGAGACCTGAAACATGTCTGGGTTGGGACTCTCGGGGGACTGAGGTATTTCAGGGATACAACGTTGGGTAGATTGTGATGCTGGCAGGGACTGAGTGCTTTTGAAACTCAGTGTCAGTTGGGATGGGACATTTTGAGAACATGGACCGCTGGTTCAAGTGGAATGTTCTGGAAGGGGCAGAGAAGGGCTGGGCAAACTGAGGAACAGGGGCTCGATGGATGGAAGGAGGCTGGCAAGTTGACCCGCCTTTTATTGTGGGCCCTTCGTCCATTTCTGCTCCTGAGTTTTCTGTTCTCGGATCGTTTCTTGAATCCATGAAACATACTGAGAGACTCGGGTGTAGACGCCAGGCCGGTTGGGCTGCCCGCATGGGAAGTCTCCCCAGGAGATGATACCATGGAGCACTCCGTTACAGACCAGGGGGCCTCCCGAGTCGCCCTGAGTGGGGGAGACAGAAAGGTGGGGTCCGTGCTGAGGCCAAACAAAGGCAGAGATAGGGACTTGTGGGGAAAGAGTAAAAGATGGAGAGAGACAGGCACGGAGGCATGTCAACAGCAGGATCTGGGCAGCCAGTGTCAGTCAAAGCCCAGGCTTAAGATGAATTATATTTGCCATCCCTGGGGACTCCTTTTTGTCTTGACCTTCTACGCTAGGGGATATCTCACCTTACAAAGACTGGTTCCCCAAAGGCTAGAAGCAAGTCCTTTCCCTCTGGCATCTGTCCCCACCTCCATCCTGGCTGCCCACCCTGGCCCCTGGCAGCCCCCCCCAGCCCCACGTGGCTTCACCTCACAGGAGTCCTTGCCGCCCTCTTTGGTGCCGGCACACAGCATGTTGCGTGTGATCTTCCCCGGGTAGATGTTGCGACACTCCTCATCGGAGCGCAGCTGGATGTTCGCACACTGCAGGGTTTGTGGAAAACTCACTGGGGAGGAGAGAGAGAAAGGTCTTAGGGACATCTGTCTTGGACAGGCCGTGAGGTGGGAGTTCAACAGGAGAGTTGGCAGAACACAGAGATGGAAAGAGGGAGATGGGCGGAGAGATGGAATATAGTTCAGGGGAAAG